AACCCCCCCCAACCCACACACACACACACGCTTGATGGGAAAGGAGGTACCAGGGAAGGGCAGACTTTCAGAGCTGTGTGTAGGTCCAGCTATCATTTTGAAAGTTATACAAGGGGGTGGAGTGAAGGGGAAACCGAGAAGGCCCGGAAAGGGGACAGGACTGTGTGGGCAGAGTTTGGAGGGGGCATGGAAAAGAGTTCTGAATGTGCTGCAGGAGAGGGCGGGCACGGATCTGCTCAGTCTGCAGAATTATTAAGGACTTCAGCATCTGTTTGCTCCTCCGTGACTTTAATCATCCATTCAGTAGCGTCCTTAACAAACTCCTGATTTTCTTTTCTGTCCTGCCTTTTGGCTTCCCTCCACTCCTTGTGTTCCCTTTTCTCTGCATTGGAGAAGTGCAGTCCCTTCCGGAACATGTCTTCTTTGGTCTGTCTTTGGTGCTTTCTTATCTGGCGGAGACGCACGACCGGTGTGTGTGGGGTGTTCCTCAAGGCCACATCTACCGAAACACAAGGAACAATGCACAGAAGCATGGTTGTTAAGTTCATGCACAGCACTGAAACATTTCAGTAAAATACACCTTTTGTAACATAACAATCACTGACCCTTGGCAAGCACACATCTCTGCGAACACCCAAAGCATGGTGAGTGTTGGGAGGGGTGAGGGGGCACTCTACATGGGGAAAAGAGCACTCTGCAAGGGTTGCAGTGCATCCGACTAGGGAAAAAATTCTAACATTCTCCTACACTTTTCCACAGGTGGGTGTCATTGTGGCAGATATCTCACTGCTGGGGGTAAGCAGAGAAGTGAGAGTACATCTACTACACGATTGTGGCTTCCGCCCTGGTCCCTATGCTGCCTGCCTGTGTGCCACTTTGGTCCCTGCACAAGTGATTGCCAAATGGCGCAGGAAAGTTTCCTACAATGGAGGAAGGAACAAAGCTGCTCTGCCATGGAACCTTCCGCAGAGGATTACCGAGTACCTCCAGGAAACTTTTCTAGGGATCTCTCTGGAGGATTCCTGTGAGATCTCGGCATGAATCAACACCTTGTTCCACCGTACTGATTAGCTACACAGGGCAATGTCCAGCACACAGAAACACAGCCAGCCTTTCAGAGTAACAGCCGTGTTAGTCTGTATCCGCAAAAAGAAGAACAGGAGTACTTGTGGCACCTTAGAGACTAACAAATTTATTAGAGCATAAGCTTTTGTGGACTACAGCCCACTTCTTCGGATGCATATAGACCGAAGAAGTGGGCTGTAGTCCACGAAAGCTTATGCTCTAATAAATTTGTTAGTCTCTAAGGTGCCACAAGTACTCCTGTTCTTCTTTTTACAGCCAGCCTTGTACATTTCTATACCCTGAACCCACCTCTGCACTACACAACCCACAGCCACTTACCAGGCCTCTCCTCTCCTGCTTCTTGCTCGCCGGAGAGCAACTGCTGAGACTGGCTAGACACCTCTGGATTGGTGAACAATTCCTGGCTGCCTGCCCCACCGGGCGACCCGGATGGGAGCTCCACATCGTTGTCTAACTCCACCTCTTCATCAATGACTTCGTCCTCTGGGTTAGGTCCTCTTTCTGCCACCTCACGGCCCGCCGAAGTATCCATGGGGCTCTTGGTGGTGGAGGTGGGGTTGCCACTGAGAATAGCATCCAGCTCTTTATAGAACCAGCAGGTCTTAGGTGCAGCACTGGAGCGACAGTTTGCCTCCCTTGCCTTATGGTACGCCTGCCTCAGCGCCTTTATCTTCGCTCTGCACTGCAGCATGTCCCGACCATAGTCCTTTTCGCACAAGCCTCAAGAAATCTGCCCCTAGATATCAAAATTCCTATGGCTCAAGCGCAGCTGGGGCTGCACAGCCTCCTTTCCCCATATACTGAGCAGATCCAGTATTTCTGTCCTGGTCCAAGCGAGAGAGCGTTTGCTGCAATACCCTGCCATGGTCACCCGGGAAGATGCAATGAGACCTCTCCATGCTGAGCAAACAGGAAATGGAATTTCAAAAATTCCCAGGGCCTCTAAGGGGGAGGGGAGGATGGTTGTTTACCTGGCTGCAGGGCAGTAGAATTCAAACTGCTGAACAGAGCGGTCACGATGGGCATTGTGGGACACCTCCTGAAAGCCAATTGAAGTGCTAAAATCAAGCGTGATGTCTACACTGGCACTTTGTCGACAAAAATTTTGCTCAAAAAGTCTTATGTCCCTCGTCGGGTTGGTTTTATTTTGTTGCCAAAACAGGGCATTTTCCCCGCCAAAAGTCGCATTGCAGTGTGTACGCATCCACTGTAATGTAGACAAGGCTTCAGTCTGTGTATGTTCTCTCACTCACCTACACACACCTACCAAAACAATACTCAGCCCAAAAGCTCCTGGGGGGGTTCACATACACTTTTTGTTTTAGGTGGGGCTTATATTACAGTTGTTAACTGAAGCAAGAATTCACACCCATCACCCTCAATGGGGCTTTAACCCAGCTCATAGCTAGTTTTCACCCAGTTCATAACAGTATTTAGGCACCTAACTTCCAATGGGAGTTGGTTTCCAAATACTTTACAGATCTGGTCCCTAGTGATTTGTCTTCTACACAGAAAACTTACAGTGCACATACTTTTTCAAATTGGTACTGTTATACAAAGCAATGTAAATGTTTGTGCTTGGCGATTTGATTTTACAGCCTGGTTATCTTTTCAGACAGGACTTTATTAAATATAAACCCCTATGATCACATTTCTTCAAGTATTTTGTCCTAAGCTTCTAAAGCAACCATCATGTGACTGGCTTGTTATAGATAAATTTTCCCTGATAGAATGAAGAAAACCTGAAACTCTAGGAAGTGAAAGTTTTCTGACTGACTGTTGTCTGCATATTTTGGATTTTACAGTCTTTCATGTTCCTGTATAAACAAATTAAAATTATTTCCCTAGCAGATTATCAGTATATTTAATTTTTTAATCTGACAAAATACTTCAAGACTCTTTAGTTTATTTTAGGTAATCCTTGAATTTCTAGCTTCTATTAGATAATCCTTGAAATATCAGTTGTCTGCAGTGGTAGAATTATTACTTACTTTACATGTCAGCTCCACTGATATAAGGCAATTATATCACTACTGAAGTTGCTCTCTCGAGGCCCAGCCTAAGGAGTCAGTCTCTGTTCAAGAAATTCATCTGACTCATTCCATCCTAGTGAGGAGCTCCGTGGCAAGGCAAATCACTTTAATTATGGAATGTGTATATCAGTGATCACTAGGCAACTTCTTTAAAGGGACATACAAAATCTAATCATGAGCTGTATATACTGACATCATTCAAAATATCATTGTAGGGACAGCAACTCTATTGGGCAGGGGGACTGGAATAATACCACCATGTGGAGATTCAAATTCAGTTCCTGAGTCAATGGGGAACACTGAAGAGGCAAAACATTGAGGAACTGATTCTGTGAGGTGCCTCCTGTGAAGTATACATAGCACATCTCAGATCCATGGGAGTTGAAGGGGCTTACCATTGACAGGAGACACTCAGCACCTTACAGAATGGTGCTTTAGATGCTGAGGGAAGGGGATCTATGTAGGTAAATCAATCACTAGTAACACTTGTAAATTCCTAGAGCAACAATCTTCTGTGGAGAGAGCCACATACAACCCTCCTGTGTCAGAGGGGACATTGTTGGCAAGTAGCAAAGCATACACAAATCTGTATTGAATAGCCAAGATCTTTCATTGTATTTAAACAATAAAGTAAGGGGTGAATATTGCAGTTCTTAGGAGTTTGGCCTGTATAAAGACAGCAGGATTTGGCCATTTATCCCTAAGAGGACAGCTATTGGATTGAAAAACAGAAATGTCATGGTCGTGTTGTCACACCATTTGGAATCAATAGCTACAAATCCAACTGTTTGCATTATCTCTCCTGAGCTGCAGAGGGAAAAATAGACTGTGTTTGTGATGTTCTGTGGGCTACAGTTCATGTCTAAACAGAGAAAGGATGTTGTTTCTGTGAAGAAATGCAGCAGTTATAAAACCAAGGGAAGGTTGAAGCAGCAAGATGTTGAGAACTGTACTTATTTTTAATTCTGTAAATAATATATTTCATAATGAAATGATGAGACTGAGGTGCTCACCTGAAGGGGACCATATAAGTGCCTAGGCAGTCGATATTACAATGTGACTCAGTTAATGTTGCTGTGGGAACTAGAATATTATACATTTCCTGATTATTGTAGTATGATGCTGTATGGAATCTGGGAGACACTTTATGATATTGTTGACACTAATATTATAAAATTGCAAGGAATCTGACCAGATATGCTGTGTAAGATATCTGCAAAAATTTTATAATTTGCCAAATGTGATAATCTTGTTTCTATGTTTGTATCACCTTTTGTATTATGAGTTATGTGTATAGTATATCTGCATTTCCAAACTTGTGCTGTGTTTCTGGGTGACACCCCCAGACAGATTTGCATCAGCCTGTTTGATGGCCCATCAAGGGTCATCAACTGTAGAGTGAACCCATTGAAAGGAATTGGGGGATACACATTATAAGTCATACACCTTATGTGGTATGCCTTGGACAGAGAACTCTAAGGCTTTGCCATGCCATGTGCTGGTCAGCTTGTGTTTGGGACACAGGAAGTACAAGCCACATGGCAAAAGGAATATAAAAGGCAACTGCATCATCTCCATCTTGTCTTCATTCCTGCTACATACCTCTGGAATAACTTTTCTTCAAACAAAGGACTGAATGACGCATCCAAGGGGGACTTTCAAGCCAGCAAACTCACCCATATTGCTAAGAACTTGATATATGGACTTTGAAGTCTCCGTATGTGTATCTGAGTGCTTTATCATTTAACAACTCTCTTCTTGTTCTTTATAATAAACCTTTAGTTTTAGACACTAAAGGATTGGCTGGCAGCATGGTATTTTGGGTAAGATCCAACCTGGCAATGTTGCTGGCCCTTTGGGGTCAGAAGAACATTTTGTATAGTGAGCAAAGTTTCAAATAGCTTCTCACTGTACTGGACCTATGTGCTGATTGGGAGCCAGAGAACTGGAATGCAATCAGAGGGGCTGCATGATTCCTTTTTTAGCTTCTTGATAACCAGGTGGGGGATCAGAAGCACAGTTTGTGACTGGTTGGCGAGTTTAACTTCAGGTTAACCACCAGTTTTGGGAGAATCTGCTTTCTTTTTCCAGCCCCCTCTGACGATGGCATTTTCAATGAGGGCTGCCCCAGGCACACCGGGTCACACGTAGCCTAAAATTCTCAGACATAGGTGGGCAGTATTATTACCTCCATTCTACAGGTGAGGAAGTGGTAGCAATAATAATACCCTATCCCCGGGCTTAAATTTTCACCTGCTGGCCTCTCTATCATAGGCTCATTCCTGGCTCTATTGTAACTTCAGCAGATTTTTTCCTTGCAGAAGTCCCCAGCATCTCCAAATTTTCCCTCAACTGGATCACGTATTGCACCACGTTGGTTATTTTTGGGTTTTGATGTTGCCACATCTCACAGTAGTTTGAATGGGGAGAAACCGGTAGATGCCTGCAGCACTTCACAGATGGCAAACAGGAGGCATGGGAGCAATTGGTCTCAGTGATGGGGATCTGAGGCCACCAAACCTCCTTAGCATCTCTTTCAGCATCTTATTAAAGCGATCGACCAGCCCATTTGTCTGAAGGTGGTAAACCAATGTCTTTATGGCTTTGATTTATAAATGACTGCACAATTCCTTCATTACCTGAAGTGAAGTGGTCAGTCAGTATTTCCTTTGATATTCCCACCCGAGCAACAATTTGTAGCAGTATGGGAGCGATGGTCACTGCAGTGGTTGAAAGAAGGGGGATGGCCTCATGGTACCATGTGGTGTGATCAGAGATGACCCGTACCTGCTGATAGTGTGGGGGAAGCACAATTTAAAGGTTCAGCCGCCCCTGGAACAACTCAAGTTACGGCCCCCACAGGCAGTCCCCCTCATGGAAACCAGCGGCCCCTCCTGGCAGCTCCCAGCTGTTGCTCCTGCCCCTCCCCGGGGGGCACAGCTCACTGGCGCCAGCAGCTACCATACAGGGAGTGGGCATATCACCAATGTGTGTTGATATCCAGCTGCACTCTTTTCCAGCGCTCCCACCAGATCCATACCACTCCTCTCAAAGAGTATTCCAACCACCAGGAGAGGCACTAGTGAGGCCTTTGGGAATCTTCTTGGGCCTACCCACTGACACTTAGGGCATGACATACAGTAGTCTCTAACTTGTTTATATATGCCCGGACAGTAAAACCTGAGGGACACCCTTTCAAAGTTCTTCTCTCTCCCCACGTGTCCCCCACAAGGTATTGCATGGTTCAACTGTAATACTTTCCTGAGGAATTTCTTTGGAACCAAGAGTTGTACCCTCACTTCTCAGCTTTGGAGGTTCTTTGCCACCTGGTACAGCCACTCCTCTCAGTTCAAACTGGGGCGACTGCTTCATCAGTTGCGGACCAATTGCTTTGCCATTCACACAGGCAAGTTGTTCGTACAATTCAGGGTCCAACCAGAATCAGATCATACTTCTTTTAGCTTACAAGGTTGCAAGCAGGCCTAGGTCCAGGGATTGCAAGATCCCCTCATTTCCTGATTACTGGGGCGGGGGAGAATTGGTTCCTGCCAGGAGGTGCCTCCACGAGGGTCTTCTGTTTCTCCAACCCCAGCTAACTCTACTGGTTCTTATGACTCGGGGCCTCTATGGGATGGTCAGTCCTTTCAAGATATTCACCCCATGATTTTATGACTCCTCTGAAAAACTTTCAATCTCATCCCTGATTCATTGGGTAAGCTAGAGACAGAGCCAAAATCACTCATACTGTACCTGTGCAATTTCCCACAGTTAATGGTATTTTCTTTGTGAGATATGGGCATACACTCCCATGTACGCACTGAAGATAGATGGTGCTTCCTGGGCCTGGTAGTTGTTCCCTAATCAATATTTGGCTGCAGTCTGAGCCTGTTAGTCCCAGCACTTCTACCCCATTGACCTGTACTGGCACCAACATCTTTGCTGGTCCTCTTTTCCAAGCCCTGATGTCCACTGTCCATGCTTGCCTATACTTGCACTCAGTGAAGGGGCAGTTGTGGCAGAAATGACCCCATTGTCCAAATGAAAAACAGCTTCTGTTCAAGGAAACCGCCCCATCCCCTGACTAACTCAGGGAGAGCTGAGTGCTTGAAAAGGGCTTTTTCTTGGGTTCAGGCTTTTCCTCAGCCCTTTGGTTCATGTGGGACCAGGCTTCACAGCCTTGTTGTAGCTGCTGATATTCCAAGGAGTTGGGCTAGGTATTATGGTTTCCCAGAGGCCACCCTTGTCTGGACCATAAATCTGCAGTCGATGATCCCTTGGAACAAGCAACTTCAGATCTTGGAGTTCCAATGGCTGGATCTCTGACTGATGTACAATTTTCCAATCAGCCTCCCTGCATCAGCCAATATCTTGGGCCTATGCTGGAACACCCACTCTCATCCCCTAGCAGGAAGGATCTGTGTAAATTGTTCTAGTATGATCTGCTTGATTCGCTTCTCAGGTTGGAGCCATCGCTAACAATGTTCTTTAAGGCTTTGGGCCCGCTGCTCAAGGTGAGGCCCCCGCTGGGTATTTTTCCCAGAAAAAGCGCTGTCACTGGGTCTCAGCTGTGATGTTGAAGACATCTCAAATGGCTCTTGACCTCTGTATCATCTTGTGCGGCTACAGCGTTGAAGCCCTGATATAAAGCTTGGGCTAGCCGCATCAGGTAGGATGCCAACAAAATAGCTCAGTATTCAGGTGGCCACAGTGATGACCCTCTTGAAGGTGACAAGGAAGGCTTCTGGGTCATCTCTGGGCCGCATCTTTGTGAATTATCAGAAAGTCTGGGTCTGGAGTGGGGTTCAGAGGCCCTGCCTCAAGTTTGTGTTCACCCCCGATGGTTGTAAAAGAGTCACCATTTGCTGGACCAGGCATTGTTGCTGTACTGTTAACTCCCAAGTGAGTTGCTGCTGTGCGGCCATTTGTTGTAACATCTGGTTCTGCTGCTGCTGCTGCTGTTGGGCTGCCTGTTGTTGGCAGTCCATCAACCACTTTAACAATTTGTCTACATCCATCTCCTTTTCTTTCTCTCCTTCCCGTTTGTGATCATTTTTGTCTTCTTTTCTTTTTCTTACAGCAGACCTGGGACACTGCTTACATTCTCCACCAAGTTGTGTCGGAGGAAGCTAGACTTACTGGTGGCATTGCCTAGTGGTTAGGTTGCTGGCTTCCACTTCCTCTCCTGCCCCTCCTCCCATCTCTGCTGCCTCTTTCCAGGAATGACACCAACACTGTGACAGTGTTCATCCCCTTCCGGGGTAACAAGAGTCCAAAGAAATCTATGGAGTCCTACATCCTTGCAGCAGGGAGGTCCTCAAGTCCACCTCCTGATCCCTGCAGGTCACTTGCCCTCATCTCAGGACTTTCAGCTTCTCTACCCTCTCCTTACTTCTGAGAGGGGGAATGTGAAAGGGAGGTTTATGCTCCCACACAACAGGGGTGGTTTGAGAAGCCCAAATTCACCAACTCCACCAGGCTCCAACCTAAGGCCCTATGAGAAGCAACAATATCAAGCACTCTGGAGTGCCTCTAAACTGCCTCCCTGGGCCACTTCCTACCATTTGCCTCCCCCAAAA